AAAAGACATCATTATAAATGTCAGAGGCTACTCTAGTGAGGTTTCAGAAAAAGAAGAGCTGTAACACTAGAGACAGACAGTGAGGAACAGAGACAGAAATGACTGCAGCAGAACCAGAAAATGGCATGAGACAACACAGCAGCTGATCCATGGAGTAAAAGCTGAGGACCTTCAGGCAAAAGGCTTGCTGCCAGATTGTTACCTCCAGACACCAGTGTAAGTGGTGTTAAAGAGTTTTGTACATCTCATCCCCAAGAAGAGTACAGGTTAGTCCAGAAGAGGAAGCCTGAGGAGTCAAGGAACTGGGAGTCCAAGGAGCCAGGAAGTAAAAGCTGCAGAAACAAGAAGAATGGTTAGATAGAGCTACCTCAGCTTCAGAGGGTAAGTCCGTGATCTCTCGGGCCTCAACAGGTAGGGCAATGGCCTCTGGGGTTTCAGAGGATGTGGTCACAGACTAAGTTTCAAAGAGTAAGATCTTCACCAATGCATTTGTGGAGAGTGAGACTGCCATTCAGGAGTGCCCAGAAGATACTAAATCTGCTGCCTAAAGATGAAGGGGACAAGACTGCCTTACCTAAGGTGTAGTAGACCAAAGAGATGGTGCCACCATTCAGCTGGACTCGAGGGATGGGACCACCAAACACAAGCAAAGCTGCATACAAGTGAACCTGATAAGCAGAGTTTACCCAGGGCTAAGGAATCTATCGAAAATCCAGAGAGTTTAGTCAGTACACCCAAAGTCTGGAGGGCAGAGTCACTGCTTAGATGATCTCAAAGAACAGAGAATTATTTTCAAGGCTTTGTTCAGCTGGCTTTTTGATTGGTATATAATTTCTTTGTATCCAGTTTTTCCCTTATGTATTAAAAATATCTGTCTTGTGCCTGTTCCATCATTTTTGCCTGGGAACAGAGAACTAGATTTCACAGATGAAAAGAAATTTTTCCAGGATGGAATATGACTACAGACTCAGTTATAATTGAGATGTTGTTGATTGCCTTTAAGTGCAACTCATAGCGACCCTATGAGCAAAAGTCCTAAAATCCCTCTTCAACTACTGATATTTATCAAAGTTCATAGAGTTTCCAGAGGCATGATTAATGATTAAAAAGATGGGATTGTGACATTGGGTTGATTTAAGATGTTTAGTATAATGTGATGAGGTGAATGTGTTTTGCATTTAAGAACGACATGAATATTGGGACTCAGATAATGAAGTATGATTGATCGAGTTGTGCTTCTCAAAACTATATGGTTGGGCCATGATTCCCAGCATATATATTGTCCTGCATTTTGTGAGAAGTTGCATGTGCTTAATGATACAAAATTATGTTTAAGAGGTTTAGGATTAATTAGGATTAGGGTAGAATGTATTACAATTATGTAAATAACATCTAAAGTAAGGGGCTTTTCTTTGGGATGCATCATGTCTCACCTTTTAGCCAACAAATGATGATAGCAGAGAAATTGGAGCAGTCTCGAGCAGGAAAGATCTCTTTACACACTAACTTGGTTGCAGTTACATTTGTTTTATTAATCCTGCAGTATTATTTGTTCTTTGCTCCTTTTTTCACAAGTTGTTGTGTACCATCAAGTCAGAATCAACCCATAGCTCACTCTCTAGTGGGTTTTCAGAAGCAGTAAATTACAAGGAAGAGGATTGACTGTTTATCTCTCAGGGAGCAGCTGATGGATTTGAAACATGTACCTTTGTGTTAGGGAGCTGTGGTAGCCCTAGTGTCAAGAAGCTGCACTGCAATCCTGAAAGCATGTGATTCAAGGCCACCAGGGGAGAATGATGGGCAGTCTCCTCCTGTGCATTTAACCGCCTCTGAAAACCCATGGGGTTGGCTATGGGTTGATTCTGACTCAAGAGCAAGTAACATCCACCACCTTTGTATTGGCAGCCCAATTCTCTACCGCTAAGCCACCAAAGTTTGTAGAAGCAGCTCCTACAAAATTATAGTATTTATAAGCTCAGGCAGAGACACACCCTATTATAGCATTTTCTTTTTTAGTTGTTGTGGTCTGTCAAGTCAGAACCAATTCATAGTTGACCCTATGGGGCAGTAAATCACATGAGACTAGATCACCTGTCTTTCTTGGGCTGAACAGCTGGTGGATTTGAACTGCATCCATTTGCAGCAGAAGTTCTTTTCATTAAGCCACCTACCATTGCTGTTTCCTTTTTAGTCACTTTATTTCTTGAAGCAGGAAATATAAGCTTACTTAAATTTATTTTAGAGGATAATGTTTACAACCATCCTGCTGTTTCCTTAACTCTACATTTTAAAATGTGAACTGAGTTGATTTTCGATTTGCTTGCTTAATGGTATTTGGTTTATTTACAAACATAAAAAACATACCCATTTAAAAACTTTCAGCTTTGATTTTCTAAAAAAAATTATTTACTCTTGTTAGAGTTTTCTTTCTTTTCACTCACATTGTTATATTAGCGGATTAGCTTAAAAAATGTACTTTGTCATTATGTCAACATTTTTTAAAATATCTTTCATCTTTAGTACCTTTTATTCTCATATACCTTTGCAATGGCTTGTTCTTACAACAGTCAGCTAAAATAATGATTCTCAACCCTGCCAGACCCAGTGCCTTCTTTTTATAATATATTTTTATCCTAGAATTAATAGATAATATACCTGCCTACACATATAATTTCAGATTTCTAACATAGAGAGGGAAGTGATCTAAAAATAAGTATTTCCATATGTAAATATTTGGGCATGAATGTAATATATACTTGTAGCTATACACAGAAACTATGAATGGGGAAGCTACAAATGAAAACTATTAAAAGTGTGTTTGTGACTTAAATACCACAAGCCATATTCCTAGTGTCATGATATTCTGAAATGTTTAAACAATTACTGGTCAAATTGTGTAACAAAGTACAAATTTCCCTCAGTTTGTACATTATTTAAACAATGTGAATATGTTTTGTTTATATGTAAAACAGTTCTGACTTAATGTAATTATGCACAGGTTTTTCATCCACAGGAATCCTCAGCAGGACATTTAAAATTATGGAGGTCATGGGATAAGTCTTCTATGTGGAGAACTTTCCTATGAATTGCAGGTCATCTAACAGTTCTTGAAGGAGGCTTGGAAGTACAAAGGTTAAGTGTTTAGTTGCCAACCCAAAAGTCAATGGTTTAAACCCACCAGCATAGGAAACAGTTGTGGCAATCTGCTTCTATAAAGATTTGCAGCCTTGGAAACTCTATGGGGCAGTTCTGCTCTATCTGGTAGTCACTGTAAATCAAAATCAATTCAATAGTAATTTTTTTTCAATAGTCTTTTTTTTTTTTAACTCAGTACAAATGGACTTAAGTATCTCTAGGCCTTGTAGTAGCTATGGTGGTAAGGAGTTGCACTTCCAGCTCATAGGCAGACAGTTGAAATCCACTAGTTGCTATTTAGGAGAAAAATGGGCAGTCTTCTCCCATGCAGTTTACTTCCCCTGAAAATCTACAGGAGGGTCAGCTCTGGGTTAGTTCAGCCTCCACAGTACATAACACCAAGGAACCTTGTGTAGGAAGTTCTTGTAGCCTAGTGAGTAAGGAGTCACACTGCCAACTCAAAAGAAGGCAGTTCCTATACGTCAGCTCTTCTGGGAGGAAAAAAGAGCAATATCTTCCTGTATAATCAGTCAGTTCTGACTGTATGGTTTGACTTTTAAGATTTTTCTGTTTCTGCATCTCCTGAAAGGAGCTCTAGTGGTCTAGTGGCAAGAAGTTGTACTGCCAACCCAAAGGAACACAGATGGAACCCACCAGCTGCCCCACAGGAGGAAGATGGGCAGTCTCCTCTTGTCTGATTTACAGCTTCTGAAAACCCAGTGGAGGGTCATCTGAGTTGGTTCTAACTCAAAGACACACAACAACAACAATGCCTCTTTAACTGTGAGAAAATAAATTGCTGTTCTTTAAAATTGCCTATGTGAATGGGTTTTGGTTTTGTTGGGGGTTTTGTTGTTGTTTTTGTAACTTGTAATATTTTTGTTATAGCAGCACCAGAAACTAAGGTACAGATGTTGGGTATTTTGTGCAGTAGATCTCTTTGTCAGTGGTGCCTCTGAGAAATGTTTTTAATGAGTAAGATAAAATATGTACAAAATTAATACAAAGATATAATAGATAAATTCAAAGGAAACAACTTTTTAAATACAGACTTTATGTTAAGAGTCTTTACAAGAAGTAATTACACCATCCCGAATACATTATAAGAATTTTCCACGCTTGGGGAAGTAGTGAAAACAACAACAACAGTGAAAACCATTGTTAAATTATTTAGTATTATCAATTGGAAATTGTCATTGGGCACCTCTACCATGTCATCTTTGTAATGGAATCAACAGGAAAAAATTAACTCTCTAATAATAAAAAAGAAGTAACATAATGGTTGTATTTCTGATCTGTTAGTTTTGAAATTTAATATATCAAATGGGTGAATTCTTCCATTCCTGATCGTTTTCTCACTATGACTGAACAACGTTTCTGCTTAGGGGAGCTCGGGTGGCTAAGGAGTTGCACTGCCACCCTAAAGACCTGAAGTTCAAATCCACCAGCAATCTCTTCCCATGCAGTTTACAGCCTCTGAAAACCTACTGGAGGATCAGCTATGAGTTGGTTCTGACTCGACAGTGCATAACCATAACAACAACCTTTCTGTTTAATACAAAGCTCAGATATTTTGCCAACTTGTTTATCCATATATTACTTAAGGAACAAAGGTAACCTTGGCAAAAGAATATCTTCCTCTAGCTAGCACTGAGCAAATTGGCAAAGAATGTGTACTTATAAACAGGATAATTTAATAAAAGTGATTCTATCTGGCCAGATAATCAAGAGTTTATTGTTACAGATACCATTCAGTGTTTGAGTGTTTTCTACAAGTGCATCCAAGTTGATATTACCATATGCAGGTGAATAACTTGTTCTGATCAATGTGCAGATATCATGATGATGATTTTACTTTCTTTTAGGGTATGTCTCTGTGCCAGACTGTTGTTGTGGGCTCTGTAGTCATTCTTCTCTACTCATCAAGAGCTTGTTATAATTTGGTGGTGATCATCATATCTCAGGATACACTAGAAAGTCCGTTTAATTATGGCTGGGATAATCTTTCAGATAAGGTAAGTGCCTACCACAAAATGCTAATCTAACAATGTAATAATGAAGTTAGTCTTAACTAGAATGCTTTAAATATTACAAACATTTTTTTAGAATCTGTCAACTATCAATAATCATACTTAAAGCTTTATGTTTAAAAATCCTCATTTACATGTGATTCTTAGAATTATTCACCAGAGAGAACTTTTCCAAAAAAGTATGTTTTTTCTTTTGTAAATAATAATAAATTTTAACCATAAATCTAATACCTTACTAATATTTTAGAGGATGTTGTATAAATATAGCTAAATAAATTTATTAACTGTCACTAGCTAGTGTCTTTAATTTGTTAGGATAAAATTAATTCTCCCTTACCTCAAAGCTACATATAACTAAATATTTCTATGTTGTTGTTGTTATGTGCTGTTGAGTCGCTTGCGACTCATAGCGACCCTATGTACAACAGCCCTAAACTCTGCTCTGTCCTGTGCCAATCGCACTGTCTCTGACACTCCCATCCTGATTATCCCAATCACTGAATCAATCCACCTCATAGAGGGCCTTCCCCTCCTGCGCTGTCCCTCCACCCTCCCAAGCATGATGTCCTTCTCAAGAACTGGTCTCTCCTCACAACATGTCCAAAGTATGTTAGACGGAGCCTCAGAATCCTTGCCTCTAAGGAGCCAACCGGTTTAACCCTTTCCAGGACAAATCTGTTTGTTTTCCTTTCTGTTTGTTTTTCCTTTCTATGTTAGAGACTTAAATAATAGCTTTCATCTAAACCTAGTGCTATCAGTCTTATTAATGAGAGGACATTCATATTTCCTTGGGTGTGTGGGTATTTACCACAGTAATTCCCCAGTATGCCACTTACATTATGCATGTTTATCTCTCAGTGTTCTCCAATGTGATACAGCTTTCTCTAGAAGTTTAACTTGGTACCAAATTTAAGGTCTCCTAGAATACCATTTTCCAGAATTTAAATTATCTTCCTATGTTGTTGTTGTTGTTGTTATGTGCC